TAATCTTTTACACGCTAGTTTTTCAGTGGATAAGATTTACCGGATCGTTCTTTCATGAAATAATGCAATACAAAAATAAATAACATCAAGAGGTATGGATGTGAACACGCCAACGGAACCACTCATAGGAAATATTTATACGTCGTTCGATCATCATCAACCAAGATCTACTATTAATCAAGTGCAATTTGGGCTTAAGATCTCTTAACGGCACTAAAAATAAAATATCTTAATGGCTAAGCAAGGAATAAGGGAAAATATGTGGCTAAACAACTTTATAGCCTTCTGTTCAATTTGCAGCTCCATGCAGTCTGACAAAGACAACTGAGAAAAGCAAGCAAGCAAGCAAGCCTCCTTTTACTTTACAAATGCATGTGTAGGCTATTCTTTGTCGCCTGCTTTCAGTTTCTAGATGCCATTCAAACGAATAAATAAAGCCTAATGTGGGAAGACTTAAGAGTTTAATGTGACATTTAGCTTAATAACAATATATAATACAAGAGTACGCCTTGAAAAATCCTGAAATAAATCTATTGAGTGACATGAAATTAGTTTGATCATAAGCTTAAGAAAAATCTGTACCGGATAAGAGATTAGAAATATGTATCAGGTGTAGATTTGGCGAAGAAATTGGTGAAGAACAGGTTCTGGGAAGCAGGAAACAATTTGGAGACTTCACGATCGACCACGAACTTTTGCGGAGGTCGACCGCGAACGTGCACAAGACAGGGTGGTCTCTGGATTTGTGACGGTCGACCGCGACAACATGTACAGTCGACCGCGGATTCTGTAATCGATTTATGTGGTTTCTGTCATTCTGTCCGGTCGACCGCGACGTCAAGTGCGGTCGACCGTGAGTCGGGTTCGGGTCTGTTTTGGTTTCCTGTTCTGTTTGGGATTTGTGTTTGGTATAAATACCAACACACGTTTTAGGGTTTCTTTGGGATTGTTTTTAGGGTTATTGGAGCACAAAAAAGAGAGATCTTCATGAGCTATTGGTTAGGGTTATTGTTTGAGAGATTGAGAGCTTGTTGGTGAGATTAGTTGGTTTGTTTTAAGTGATTTGTAATCTTAGTTTGTACTCTCTTCTCTATTAGTGAAAACTTATCACCTTCTTGCCCCGTGGACATAGGCAACTTGCCGAACCACGTAAAAATTAGTTGTTTGTGTTTGTGCCGTTATTTTGTATTGTTTGGCTTTCTCTCTTGGCGTTTGTGTTTGGTTCCTCAAAGCACAACAATTAGCTTCTGCGCACAATATCAAGAAAAAAAAATCTTAGGAGATTCAGATCACAACAGGAACATTGTATTATTGTCTATTAATTAAATAGCTAGGCTTTGATTAATGACAGGTTTCAAGTTTCCAGATATATACAGATGCTAATGAGGGGACATTTGAGAGCTCTATTATGAGTACCAGGTCAGATTTACGACAGGCTCCTACTTCCTCTTTAGTCCAAGAAATTTTCTTTTTCTTTCCCTGCGCGGAACTAAAGCTCCTGCTTACTCTTTAAGACCAAGAAGCGTTTGTTACTCTGCACAGAAATTGCGTACCATTGATAAAATTAAAAAAAAAAAGTAAATTCAGTGTACTCGTTGTACATGATTATATTCAATACATGAAGCTAGTTGCAAATTTTGCTTTTGTGAGGTTTTTCTTGGCTCCTTAAGCACCTAAGCTTTTGATAAAGTACGTGTCTAAGTTGCCAACCCTGTAGGCTAATTACTTGTTCAAGCATTGCAAGGCCTTTAACAGGGAAGAAACCTTTTGATATTTGATAAGCCTGAATGCTGCAGTGTGGTTAAACTAAGAAGCACGTGTAGAAGCACCAAGGGAAGTCACCAAGTGAGAAGCTTCATGCTAACTACAAGCGATTAAGCACGTGTAGAAGCACCAAGGGAAGTCTTTCAGCAAAGTAAGTAACTTAAAAACCAAGAACAAACATGAATCTGGAGGACACTTCAGTCATTGAACAACACAACTTGGAAGAAGAATATCTGAACTTTCTACTTCAACTGGGGGTAGTATCCAATGATCCTTCCGACTACGACATGAATGGTGCACCAAAAGAATAGTAACTGTTGGCTGGTTGCGGTACAAGCGGACGCTGGGTCTAATTAATGCTGCATCGATTGATGTTAAGACATGGATTACTAAATACTTTCCTTTTAATTACCGGCTGTCTCATCCTATAAAAATTCTTCAAATTTTTTCCTACTAATGCATCTTTTTTAGAATGAGAGCATACATCGGAGCTAACCTATGGTATTAGTGGCGCATCAAAGAGATATTAATACGTGGACAAGATCGACTAGACACTCTGTTGAAATATTATTAAGTTTAGGGGTTTATGTGTAAGTTGTAGGGGCCTATATAAGCCCATGTTATCTCATGAATAAGATTAGGGTTTTCTCTCTATTTTCAATATGGTATCAGAGCCGGCTGCCCCCCCTCTCCTCTCCTAGCCGCCGCCCCCCCCCCTCTCCTCTCCTCTCTAGCCCCCCCCCCCCTCATCAGCCGCGACCCCACCCTCCTCGGAGACGATATGCCCGATCGTTTTTTTTTTTGTGGCTTACCGACCATCGATCTGAAGCTTGATGATCGAGTAATTACCTGAGCTGGTCGCGAACGGCTTGAGATCACCCTTGCAGGGAGACCTGGGAGCGGTACTTGACAGCAGAGGCGACATAACCTGAGGAGAACGTCGGAGGGAAGCATGAGTGGCAAGTCCACTCCATATGTGGTGTACATCTGGCCTTCTCAACTCGTTGGTTCCCGACGATCGCCGCCCACGGTGGTGGCATTGAGAAGTGAAGGACGTATGGGAGAAGGTTGAGGAGGACTATGATGAGTGGCGAATTAACCTGAGGGTATTCCAGATTAAAGGAAGAGACGACGTCACAGTCCAGGGAGAGAGGACTGCTCACAGGAATATGTCACCAGAGCTGCGAGCGCTCGGTGCTGGGATTATTGTATCATGTTTTTCTCCCGGGCTAGCTGCAAGCACGGACCCGGGATGTAAAGACGCGGGAGGCTTTTCTACAGCAGGAGGACTATGGCTAGTTTCTCAAAGGATGACATCAGAGTTTCGACTCAGCCGAATCGCATTGCTGCTAGCTCAGCCGAGATCCCCGGTTGAGAGGCTGTCTCTGCTATGATCCAGGAGGAGACTCGCATTCGGCTGCAGGCGGGGACAGGTGGACTTCCTGTGGTGAAGTCAGCACTGGTAGCCTCTAATAACACTGGATTTAGGGGAGAGACCCGACAGTGTTACAACTGCGGTGTGGTAGGTCATCTAAGGCATGCTTGCACCAAGCCATCCAATGAAGGAGATTCGGGTGGACGTGGACAGTTCGGAGGTCGTGGTCGTGGCCGTGGGGGTCGAAGAGGTGGAAGAGGAGCAGGAAACCGGGCAAATCTGACGGTGGCAGAGGAAGAGGAAGCTGAGATGGTCTTTACTGAGGAGGATCGTGCTCTCCTGGCGATACTAAGGAAGAAGCAGCAAGTAGCAGGGGATGGAACTGAGGAGGCATCCACTTCATTCTTCGCCAGAGGCAATACTGCTACCTATACGAGGTGGAAGAGGAGCAGGGAATCGGGCGAATCTGACGGTAGCAGAAGAAGAAGAAGCTGAGGTGGTCTTTACAGAGGAGGATCGTGCTCTCCTCACGATACTCAGGAAAAAACAGCAAGTAGCAGGGGATGGAGATTTGAGGAATGGGACTGCGGAGGCATCTACTTCGTTCTTCGTCAGAGGCAACACTGCTACCTATGCTCATCCGAACAAAGGTACTGATGACATACATGCTCTTGCTTCTATGTCTCCTGACAGATCATCAGCATGGATAGTCGACTCCGGTGCGTCTTGTCATGTGACAGGTAATGCTAGTGAGTTCTCATCATATACTCACTTAGCATCGCCTGATAGTATTCAAACAGCTGATGGTACATTTCAGCCGGTGGTTGGTAAGGGTACAGTTGATTGTACTGGTTCTGTAACTTTGTCCAATGTTTTGCATGCTCCTTCTTTTCCAGTCAATCTTTTATCTATTAGTTCTATCATCCTCCAACTAAAATGCATCGTCTCTTTTGATATTCCCAAGGTAATCTTCCAGGAGAAGGGGACAGGGCGGAGACTTGGGACTGGCACATGGCGTAGTGGACTGTGGTATCTGGATCGTGAAGGGCTGGATTCAGCATTGGTGTCAGTCATAGAGGAAGCAGGAGTAGGATCTAAAATGAGTGCTGAAAATGAGTTAATGCTCCATCACCAGCGTTTGGGACACTCATCCTTTAGTGTTTTAGGTAGATTGTATCCTTCTTTATTTGAGAAAGCAAATAAACAGAAACTTGTGTGTGATGCATGTGAGTTTGGAAAGCTTACTAGAAGCTCTTATGTTAGTTCTGGTCATAGAAGTTCTCATGCATTTGACCTGGTACATTCAGATGTTTGGGGACCTTGTTCCACAAGTTCTATGAATGGATACAAATATTTTGTTACATTTATTGATTGCTTCTCTCGTGTTACTTGGTTATACCTGATGAAAAATAAGAGTGATGTGTTTGGGTGCTTCCAAAATTTTCATAGGACTGTTCACACTCAATACGGAGCAGTGGTGAAAGTATTGAGGTCAGATAATAGGACAGAGTATACCAACAGAGCCCTTGAAGAATATTTGTCAGCTCAAGGAATACATCACCAGACAACCTGTCCATACACTCCAGCACAGAATGGGGTAGCGGAAAGGAAGAACAGACATCTTTTAGAGGTTGCTAGAAGCATGATGATCTCTATGAATGTCCCAGAGACATTATGAGGACAAGCAGTATTGACCGCAGCAGCGTTGATCAATAGAATGCCCTCGAGAGTGCTGGATTGGAAGTCTCCGTGTGAGATATTGAAGGGAGATAATGGTGGGATCCTTCCACTCAAAGTGTTTGGCTGTGTGTGCTTTGTGAAGGACAACAGACCATCTGTCGGGAAGCTTGCCCCTAGAGCTATGAAGTGCATCTTTGTGGGATATTCTGCTACTCAGAAGGGATATGTTTGCTGGAGCCCAGTGGAAAAAATGCACTTTCGAGAACTCGAGCCGTATTACACCCAGAAGGTAACTTCATCCGCTAGTAACTCGCCTAATACTAGAAGTATGAGGCGAGAGGAGGAGAATAGTGAGAGATCGGTGAACAATGTGGAGAAATCCATTTCTGTATCGATTCCTTGGGAAGGAGAATTGGTTGAGGAGGAGCAGGAGAATGATGAAGAAAAGAATGAAGAAAAGAGAGACAAGAGGTGTTAGGCCCACTGATCAGGGGGAACTACTAACCTATAGTAGGAAGGGCAAGCAAATTACAGGAACAGTACCTACAGTGTCACTAGTGCTACCAAGTCTCTTGCCAACGTCTGCCCCGACTCCTGAAACACCTACACCACCACCAGTTTTATCCCAAGGTGATAACGTTCCTCTCCCTACTGATAACATTTCTCTCCCTACTCCTCCCACACCAATATCAGTACGGAGGACTACTCGTAGTAATGCGGGAAATCCTCCCGATAGATGTGGTTGGGATCTTGCCCAATTTGTATCATATTCTAACATCCACCATGCACATGGGGCATTCATTGCATCATTGAACTCTGTTACTGTACCTAACAATTGGCAGGTTGCTAAGAAGGACCCAAAATGGAAAGCGGCTATGCACGAGGAGTTAGGGGCTCTTGAGAAGAACCGTACTTGGGAGCTAGTAAAACTACCAGAAGGAAAGCGAGCAGTTGGATGTAAGTGGGTCTTCACTGTGAAGCAGAATCCAGATGGACAAGTTGAGCGCTACAAGGCTCGTCTGGTGGCAAAAGGGTATAGTCAGACATATGGCATCGATTATGATGAGACTTTTGCACCGGTGGCAAAGATGAGCACTGTTTGGACCTTAATCTCTCTGGCAGTAAATGGTGGATGGAAGCTATACCAACTAGATGTGAAGAACGCATTTCTTCATGGAGATCTAGTGGAGGAGGTATACATGGAGATACCACCAGGTTTCGGTACAGAGCAGACAGTGGGAAAGATTTGCAGATTAAAGAAGTCTCTCTATGGCTTGAAGCAATCTCCTCGTGCTTGGTTTGACAGATTCAGGCGGGCTATGATAGGTATGGGATACCATCAGATTAATGCCGATCATACTGTGTTCTTTCGACGGAGTGAAGGTCACATCACCATGCTTGCAGTATATGTGGATGATATGATTATTACTGGGGATGATGAGAAGGAGATTGCCCAACTCAAAGTGAGACTGGGTAAGGAATTCGAGGTGAAAGATCTTGGCTTGCTTCGATACTTTCTTGGAATAGAGATAGCTCAAGGAGCGGAGGGGATCGTCCTATCCCAGAGAAAGTATGCACTTGATCTTCTCAAAGAGACAGGGATGTTAGGGTGCAAACCTGCAACTACACCGATCGACCAGAAGTTTAAGCTGGGTGCTGAAGCTGGAGAACCAGTTGATCGTGACAGATACCAGAGGCTGGTGGGAAGATTGATCTATTTGAGTCACACACGTCCTGATATCTCTTTTGCAGTGAGCGTGGTGAGTCGCTACATGCACGATCCGAGGAATGGTCATATGGACGTTGTGTACCAGATTCTGAGATATTTAAAGAGTGCCCCCGGAAAGGGACTGATATTCAGGAAGAATGGACATGTGAGCATCGAGGGTTATTGCGACTCTGATTGGGCTAGCTGTGCTGATGACAGGAGATCCACCTCAGGATATTGTATCTTTGTAGGAGGCAACTTGGTCTCGTGGAAGAGCAAGAAGCAATCGGTGGTAGCGAGATCAACAGCTGAAGCAGAGTATAGAGCCATGGCCTTAGGAGTTACAGAGTTGTTGTGGTTAAAGAGTATGTTGGTGGAGCTGAAGCTGGATCAAGGAGCCAAGATGAAACTGTGGTGTGATAACAAGTCAGCCATCAGTATCGCCAACAACCCAGTGCAGCATGATAGAACCAAACACATCGAGATTGATAGGTTCTTCATCAAAGAGAAGTTGGACAATGGACTACTGGAGTTAAGTCATGTTCCAACTAAGGATCAGGCAGCAGATTGTCTGACTAAGGGACTTAGCTCGGTAGATATGATTAGAGGATGTGACAAGATAGGCTTAGTGGATATCTTTCGCCCATCTTGAGGAGGAGTGTTGAAATATTATTAAGTTTAGGGGTTTATGTGTAAGTTGTAGGGGCCTATAGAAGCCCATGTTATCTCATGAATAAAGATTAGGGTTTTCTCTCTATTTTCAATACACTCTCTCCTTCGAACCAACCTTACTACAGATGTCGGAAGCTGAATTTAAAATCTCTGGCATGATAGAGTTAAATATCTTTAATTACCATCTCATCTACAAGCTGTAGATATCCTAATTAACAGTCGATTATTCTCATGGTTGCTTTCACCTCTCCCTTTAAAGCCCCTTTTCTTTTTTCTGTCCATCGCTTTTTTCCTCTTTTTCCTTAGTGGCTACTCTTTCTAGTCTTTGAAACGTTTCCCCTCAACCCCACCGCCCTCACAAAGTTGGCGCTCCCTCTCTATAAATACCCACCAAATCCCTTCAAGTATCCTTCCATGTCAAAACAACAACTAATTTCTCCACCCTCAATCTCAATACATTTCTATCATCAAAAACACACGTACGTGTACTCTCTCTAATCTCAGTGTTTTGTTTCTCTTGTAGAAACATACACATCTCCCTCTCTCTCTCTCTCTCTAACCTTAGTTTTTCGCCTTATTTTCCTTCGGTTCGATCTCTTCTTGTAACCGAGCCCTTCAAAGATGAAGAGCAAAGCTTCCACTTTCCTTAAGGACGTTTTCTCCGTCATCACTAGCATAGTGAAGGCCAAGGCTATGGCGGTGAAGAACAAGACCAGCTCCATCAAGACCAGGCTCCTCGTGCTCGGCCTACTCAGGAACAAGAAGGTTCTGATGAGCGCAATCTCACACAAAATCCACGCGCTTATGGGCAAAGAGGGAGGAGGAGGTGGGCACCAAAACGACGAGGATAACAGCCGGGCCATTGTCTTGTACAATGCAGATAGGAACCTGCAGGATTATACCGAGACCGTGGAGGAGGAGGAAGACGACGGCTATCCTGACCTGAGGCACTCGTTATTCGATCTGGATGACGACGATGAGATTGGTGATGGCACTGGATCGGCGATAGACTTTGTGAAGAGCTCTCGAGAGGACGGAGCAGACTTCAGCCTCGAAGACGAGATCGACCTCGTGGCTGATGTTTTTATAAGGAGGTTCCATAGACAGATGAAGATGCAGAAGCTCGAGTCTTTCAAGAGGTACAGAGAGATGCTAGAGAGGAGTGTTTAAGATTTGCGGGTTGGGAGCTTGATCGAGGTGATCAATAAGATCATGTTTATTAGGTTTTAGGGTTTTATGTTCTATGTTTTCTATAGAGCAAAAGATAATTAAAAAAAACAAAAAAAAAGGTGACGTCGCTGCATTTGTCTTAGAGGAATGCACAGTAGAGGATCTCATCCTGATTCTTGGGTGATAAATTTGTATGTATTTTCACTGAAAATGTAATTGCCTGGAAGTATGTTCCCAAAAGTTACATGTTTCCACATTGTTCATGTAGTTAACACCAGTTGTCAGTTCCGTACAACAATTTTCTCTTCAGATACATCACAGGTGTGCTCAAGAATGTGCCATAAAATCACAGCAAAGCAAATAAAATGCAGAAAATTTACAGTCAGAATCATGAAGCTAACAATGCAGCAGCCTGTGACTAAAAAATAAACACGCATCTTAAGCACAACAAAGCAACCACTTCAATAGTTAAACAGTAAAGTGAACTGAGAGTTATTAGTGACGGACACCACCGGAGATTTCTTTACAGCACAAAATGTAAAGCATAATGCTTTCAGCACTTTTAACGGAATGACAAAGGTTATGCTTTAGACCTTTGGAGGTAGACCAATAGTATACAGGGAGATGCCATTGGATCCAAAGATCACAGAGTTGTGATTGGAAAAATGAGAGCCCCTGGCAGCAATTATATGTGATTTGCAAGAAGTCAGAATCGTACTTTGCACCGAAAAACACAAAGTTACTTGTCGATAGGACAATCCCAAATATCAAGCATAATACACATAGATGGCCGAACCTAAATTTCTCGAAGTGAAGATAACTACTTAGATCGTCATAAATAAAGGCAGCCATCTCTTTCACTGTGAAATTGGATGTCTAATCACACCGCGGCTCTCGTCAAGAACAAAGTTGCTGTCCTTGAAATGGGAACTGGAGAAGAATGGTTTCAGATCATAGATTTCATACTCCTGAGCCTGGAACACAAATAATTAAAAAATAAATAAAGTTACGGGTCTGTAGAACGAATATATAATTGACAAAGGGACAAGGAGTTTTGACGAGTAGAGGATGGTTCTTCATTGATTTACCTTACTCCGTAGCTCTTCCACCTTCACCTCAATATGTGTGAGACGAGCAGTTGATCCAGATACAATTTCTTCAAAATGGATAGCATCCTTCACAAGCGCACGTAGAAGATGCAGGAGTAGATCATTGAAGTCCTTCTTAAATGTCATGTATTTCTTGAAACTCTGCAAGTAAATACAGAATATAAGGTAACTATAACAACAATGATATTTGTCCTATGTGAACCAGCAAGGGTGGCGAATATACCAAAAAAGAAAACAATATAATAATGTTGGCGATGAAATTTTTCTGTAGGACAACTTGAAGCACAAATATTATATTTCTAAAGATACAATACTGTTTACTATCAGAATTTTCCTTTTTTGTGCAAAAGCGGATATATGGATTATAGTGCAACATCTACAAGCCTAAGTAGTTTCTTCGCTACTGGTTCATTGATTAGGAAACTGAAAGAGACTGTCACATGCATGTTTTCAACATTATTCAGTAAGGCATTTCTCACTTGAGTCTCTGCCATCTGACAGCAAGGAAAAAAGGAAAGAAAAGAAGATAACCCAGAACAAGGGGTATGCCAGCCAGTTGTTATAGAGCTTTAAATAGATAAATAAAAACAAAAACCTGTTGCATGATTAAGCTAGAATAATAGTTGATTCACCCATAGAAAGAGACAGTTGTGCTGCTGTTTAGCAATGAAGCTGATCCTAAACTAGATTTGAAATGCAATCTAAAAGATCAATGGGAAGTAAACTCCTAGGGAAGGAAAAGGATGCTCTCCTCATGAAATAAAATCTAAAATCTTGAGCGCATGTTGTAAATAATTGAATCCGAAAAAAAGACAATGTACTTGGAATAATCACTATATTATAGAACTATTTTTTAGAAACCCTCAGTACTAACAAACAATAAGAAAAGAAATCCGGAAGTGAAATTTTCCTCCTACAAATTAGCCACATTAAATATCTCGACTTCCTAGAGACAAAGAAGTTTGTCAAACCTTTTGCAATGCTTTCTGGACTCCAAATTTCTGAGTTGAGATGAATGACTCTAGCAAAACCCGAATTGCCATGTCCGCATCTTCCTGCGTCACATAACTCCTTAGATGCATTCTTGCATGTGCTTCTGACATCCGAATCATCGATTCAATATGCCTGACTGCTATAGGAACTCCTTGACCATGCTGCATGGGTCATTTGGCAGTCCAATTACAAATTAGGTTCAACAAAGAAAAAGAATAATCTTTCATAACTAAACAAGACTTGTGAATCTCACAGATGATTCTCTACGCAGTTCAGTATACACAGTTGCGAGCTTATCCAAATCAGTATCATGAAATTTGGGGAAGATGTTCAACTTCGAATATGTTATGTACTTCTTGAGCATATCTTGAGAAAGTATCTGGACAAATAATTTTCAAATTACACAGTTAGGAAGAGAAATATAAAAATTCAAAACTATTCATATGAACACACTCATAAAAATATTAAATCTGAAGTATTTAAGAAAATAAAACAATACCTCAGAGTCAGTAGCTCCAGCAGATGTCAGTACATCATCCTGGGACATGCTTGCTGGATGATCATCTATACGGGCTCCTTTTGGTGTTGATATGGCATGGCTATCAACAACAAATTTTGCCAGCAGTTCATCGGCAACAGGATCAACTATATCCTGCACTTCAAGGTGTAATACTTAGCCAATTTTCTAAATCTCAAATCATCAAACTTATGACAAATTCACTAAACAAAAAAAAAAGGCAACAAAAATGGGAAATTGACCTTAACAACACAAAGGATATCAAATCGAGATATAATCGGATCTGTGAGTTCCACATTTTGAGTGAATAACTTTGACGAGTCATACCTGATCATACAAAATTTATTGTTCTTGTATCAAAATAAAACAACTTAAAAGTGCAACAGAGGTAAGTACTTAGTTTTCTTGTTTACCTTCCACCAATTGGATTGGCTGCTGCAATGACACTACAACGAGCTTGGAGAGATGTCACGATTCCTGCCTTTGATATACTGATGCTCTGCTGTTCCATGGCTTCATGAATGCTAACCCTGCACATTAGAATAATAAAATGCCAGGTGAGTGGATTGGAAGGGAGTAACATGTATGGTGAACCCTCACAAAACTAAAAGTTAATCTAACCTGTCCTGGTCATTCATTTTGTCAAATTCATCAATTAGACAAATTCCTCTGTCAGCAAGGACAAGAGCACCTCCTTCAAGAGTCCACTCCCTTGTCACTGGATCCTTGTGCACTGCTGCTGTAAGACCAACAGCAGAAGCCCCTTTACCCGTAGTGTAAACAGCCCTGTGGCCAGTTTTTTCCACATACCTGTGCAAAATAACGTTAAAAACCATTAGAATAATTTATAATACGACTGTGAAGAGTTCGCATAGTTCTCTTAATCTTACTTGAGGAACTGCGATTTTGCTGTGCCTGGATCACCCAAGAGAAGAACATTGATGTCCCCCCTTAATCGATGTTTTCCTTTCACATTTTTCTCTTGCCCACCAAACATGGCAAGTGCTATTGCTGTCTTAATGTCTTCGTGGCCATAAATTGATGGAGCAATGGACTTGACAATCTGTAAATTCCATTATGCATTTTCTTTAAAAAACTGTGTTTGATAAAGCAGCATATGTCCCATCAAGGAAAGTAAAATGATGCAACTGACCCTTTCTCCAATCCTTGGGTCCTTGGACAACTTTTCGATCTCTGCCTTGTCTTCATCAGTAAGTTTGTAAGCAGCAAAAAGGTCCTGCTTCTTGGTGACATAGTTTGCCTCGACCACCGTTGCAAAAACAGGAAACCCATTTTTCGTGTTCAATGATAAGTCAAAGTTGTTGGTGTATATGCCTGTGACCTCCTGAAAATGATAAGATGAAAGAAACCATTAAGGAACCATTTTAGTTGCATGGTAATATATATAGGTCGCAGGTTAATATTTACGATTTCTTCTCCTGGACGAGCACAGTCAATCAGATCATTCAGAAGTATCACTTCCTTGTATCTTGGAAGTCTACCAGCAGGTACAATCCCGGGACTCTCCTGAAGAGTGAGTTTCTGATAGTTCCTATAAATTGTCTACAAAGATGTATCATTTAAGTTAGAAAATGAAATTGTTTCAAACCTTATTGACTATAAATACTTGAGAAAATTTCTAACTCATCAAACACTCACCTGCTCTACATTGACAGTGAATGGTCCTTTAGACTGGCATTCAGGGCAGGACCCCACTTTCACTTCAGAATAAGAGTTTTGGAAAAAAGGGCCTAAAATCATCCCACATTTGTTGCAGTCATACTTCACCTGCTGTAACTGTGGGAACACACCAGATCTTCGAGTGACAACTCCTCCTATACGAATCATTGTGTTCAAGTGTATCTGCCTGAGGTGCAATAATAGACAAATAATCAAGTGGGTCACAGAGACATTTAGGAAAAATGTACACATTGATGAATTTTTAAATTTACCTGATATTACGTATTTGATCATAAACTGGAAGATTGGTTATTCGGACATAGATTTTCTGATGAATGTTCTTGTAGTTCTCATGCAGATTGAAAACAACACTCTTAGCAACATCTTCAAAAACTTCAAGAACTGATTGAGGTGCATCAGCAAGCCAAATAGCAATATTTGGATGAATATAAATGAACTGCTTGTAATCAATCTCCAAACTACACTTATTAGCTGCACATCAAAGGTTAACAAGAAACGACCAAGTCAAACTTTTGTCAAGAGAAATAAACAACAAATGGCATAAAATAATGAATTGGCTCTTTGATTTCACATTACAAGTGAGAGACAAGATCCAAAACATACCTAGAACCATCTCATTTATCAACCGGATATATTCTAAATCTCCATGCTTATTCTTGTAAGTGAGCAGGAAGTCTTTAAACTTTCTTGCAATAAATCGCCGCACTTCATCTCTTGTGACCCACTCCCTCAATGTTCCTTGGACACGATACATATTGAGCTCACCATCCTCATCATATTCATCCTAATAGGAATATTTCAAGTTAGTTATTGCATGGCAGTATAACTGAAAAATAACAGCTTTATGTACTAAAAGTAGAAAAAAATAATAATTAATACATCATATGGATCATCATCTGTTTGATCAGTCATTGGCACATCATCATTTGAGCGTCCACTCTGTGATCGTCCAGGCGAACTTTGCATTTGGCCGTCACCATCATCATCACTTCTTGCTCCGCTTGGTGGCCTGAAATCAGCTCTGTGCCTCTTTGGGCGCCTGAAGCTACTATCGTCATCTGTGTCTGCAGCAAGAAGATTCAGACAAAAGAATTACAAATAGATAATTCAAATGGCTTCATGGTAGAGCACTAGAGTGTGTAGACAGTTGGATGAAAACATGATATAAATTTCAAATATACTAACATGAAAGAAGCATGTCAAGCTAGTTGCATATGCGCACCTATATTTAAATCTAACTGGGTAAAGTGCCTCAAGTTGCATATAAAATGCCAAAGAAACCAAATCAACTAAGTTTCATCAAGAATTAAATTGATAGAGAAGTATACTCTTGCAGAATAATTTGGCAAGCATCATGCTAGCAGAACAAGCATTTGAAGGGACAAATCTGGAAGAAACAGCACTATAAGTACTTCGCAGATATTGAACATCACTTAAATTGGCTAAATAACTAGTGTTGTGCGGGAACTAGATTTATGAGGACTTAAACAGGCACAAACAAAAATCACTTTTGCAAATGGGAAGAATGATCATACATGAAAGCAACAACATCAGATAGTGGCTTTCAACTAATAACAAATATAGGATACTAAAATTTATCTATCAATTCACAGAGCACTCCAGTCCATGGGCAATGGTAAGCACTGCAAATTGTTGTTTCGGTTGCAATTTTAATCTATGAGGGTACACATTATTTCTGACAGAAAGATGTTACTCTACTAGACCTAAAGGGGTAATCTTTATTTAAAAAGTTCTTATAATAGCTTAATTTATTTCTTGGACGATATCTTGTGACAAGGTTCAATTGTTCCTCAATTTGCAATGGAATTCTTTGCCCAGTTCATTAATCCAGATTCTAAATACCTAGAGGACAAATGCATACTAAAAAAAATACCAGGCATTTGCTCCTTATATCAAAAACCCCTCTTTCTCAAAATTTACCAAGCAAAATCAAGTCTTGTCATCACATAGACTAGCAATAACACGAAAGGCAGCACGGACTTTGCAATTAAAAAAATTTACCTTGATCGAGCATTTGCGGGAGCTTCCGCTCTCAGATTGTAACTTCCATCATCGGTGTTTGATGGAGGATAAGCTATCTATTGTGATTTTTAGACAACCTACATGGAGAAACGCATGATAACTGGTTAAATCCAACCAAGATAAAAGGGTCACTGAATAACGAAGATGGTAGAAGTTCATTCATCATAGGTGAAACTTTAATGGGAATATGTGGGCTAACTTTGATTATTTTTAGTGCTTAACCTACACTATTGTAACACAAGTATCTGGTGTGAGATTTTTGAACAATAATATCTTCACCCAACTGTAGCATCGTCAATTTTTGTTACTCAATGAGGCCAAGCAATCCCCTCCCTCTCTTTCTTCTCTTCTCAATCTTCTATAATTTTCAAACTCTAATGAGCCTGCAACACTGCCAAATTTCACTAAACTGATCTCCAGTAATAAAAAGTATTCATCGCACCATTTAGCATCACATTTTTTGTAGCTACCAAAAAAACTGGCATACTAATATTTCACCAAAAATATCAGCTTTCTCGAAAATTGGTTAGATTCTCGTCATTTTAACATCTTGCCCCTTCAAAACCCCCGGTTCAGATTCATAACTTAGGACCAAAAAAAAGCCCTATTTTTTTTCAAATAAATAAATGTATCGTAGTAATTGATTAAGCAAGACAGGATTAGGCCAAAAGGATATGGTTGTCTTACTTGTCCCAATTGATCTCGGTTTGATCCAATTCAACCTTAGCCGCCCTTCGATCCGCAATGATCTGATCGAGATCCCTCTCATCCTCCATCGAATCGTCCAGTCCCACGGGCTCATACTGATCTTGCTCATCCAATCTCCGATAATCCCTATACAAAACCGAAACAAAAGTTAGGGCTTTTGAATCGACTGACGACATCATCTAGTTACGGATCTAAACAATATAGGAAGAAATTAGGGAATTCGAAGGGACTGACTCCAGGAAGTTATCATTGTACAGATCCTCCCCATCCTCCTCCTCCTCGTCGCCGTCGGGTACAACGTCGTCGTCGGGGATGACGTTGGGATCA